TGAGCTGACTAACGTGAGCTAAAACCGCAGGACGATGAGACCGCACGTTGCTTGGTCCAAGCCAGCAGCTCAGGACAGAGGACCTGGCGCGCTAACTTGAGTTACGAACATGCCTGCTCTTGAGCCTGGCACATGCCACAACAGTGCATGCTCCACAGGGAAGGGGCTGCTCACCCACCATGTGTGTTCAGCACTGGGTGTGGCAGGGCCTAATCCTGATTTTGGCCGTCAGGTGCTATGGGAAGGTGGAGTCAGGAATAGGCTGCAGTAAAATGCCAATAAATAAAGCAATGGAAACTCCCACAGAGGAGAAGAGCCCATGCCCAGAGCAATGCACAGCTCTGACCCACGTGTCTGGATGTGTGCATGCCATGGCTGGCTCTTGCCGTGGCCCTGGACCCTGGAGGACCTGGTGGAAGCTGCAGGGGCTGGGACCACAAGTGTAGGGCGATTTTTCACAAAGCTCAGAGCTGGCAGAGAGCCCTGCGGGGAGCAGCAAAGGAGGGAAGAGGAATCTCAGGACTGCAGTGAGGAGACCCAGGAGGTCGGCTCACTAACCCCAGGCAGTGCCGGCTTGGCTCTGACCCCCAGAGAGCCCCGCATGCGGAGCTCCACAGCACCCTGAGGCGGGAAGGGTGCACTGGGGAGCTAACAAGCAAGAACAAGGAGCCCCCAGCGAGCAGGTACACGGGTCTTGCAGGAGCAGAGCTGCAATGCCCTGTGCGAGCCTTGAGGCTCCTGGCAGCAACAGCCCCGGGGGCAGATCCTGGCAGCGTCTCTCATTCCCAGCCCTGCTAAGGCCACATAGCCCAGCCCCAGCTGGCAACAGGACAGACACCCACCTTGTTGGAGGGCTCCAGCTTCAGCGCTGCCTTCAGGATGGGGATGGCTTGGCTGTACTCGCCCTGCTGTGCCAAGACCTGGGGAAGGATACACAGTTCACAGAGGAGCTCTGAGCTGTCCCTAGCCCTGCCACACATGGCTGCACCCGGGGTACTGGCACTGAAGGCCCAGGAAGGAGGGAGGCAGCCTGCTGAGACCCTCAGAGCACCCTGCCCCAACCCACCCTCACCTTTCCCTTTCGGAAAAGTGCCTTGATGTTCTCCGGCTGGTGCTCCAGGACCAAGTTGCAAGATTTCAGGGCGGCCTCATAATGGTCCAACTTGAGCTGAGAGGCTGCCAGGTTGTTGAGGCATTTCACCTTCACCTCCAACAACTCAGCCTCCTCCTCAGGGCTGAAGTCGACTGCAAAGAGTATGGAGCCCAGTTACACGTGGGCAGAGGCACTGGTTGCAGAGTATAGCTGCTTCCCGTCATGGCTTGAGCACCAGGGGGACCGGTCACCACCGGGCAGCCTGCTTTGTACGCTGCAGCAGAGCCCATCTGCCCCCAGCAAGGACTGCGTGGGTTTCCCTGGGGACCTGCTGGGAGGCTGCCTAGCCTGGCGCAGGTGGAGAGGAGCCCAAGCAGTCTCACTCAGCAGAGAACAAACTTCACATCAGTACGAGGTGGCCGCAGGGACAGGCGGTGACACCCGTGAGCTGGGGAGGAACTCGTGGGCTTTAGAGGGACTGGAAAGAAGGGAGAACATGATGCAGGGGAAGGCAAGGACCCTAGCATGAGGCTGCCCTGAGAAGATGCCTCAGCAAGAAAACAGCTGCTCACCGTGTCTGTAGCTAGAGGGCCAGAGCGCTGGAGCCTGGAAACAGTCTGGGGATGGTGCAGGCAGAACTCACTCGGGCCCCAGCTGACCCCACCCCCACCAAGCAAGGCCCCCCCAGCAAGCCCCTGCCGTCTCCAACAAGGCTGGAGCCAGTGAGCCGAAGCAGGCAGGCACCTTTGGAGCTGGAGCTGATGACCCTGAGGGCGATGTCATAGGAGTTAATGGCCAGCACGTAGTCGGCCTGCTGGTAGTAGAAGTTCCCGCGCTCCCGCTTGCGGTTGGCCAGTTTGATCTTGGCCTTCCCGCTGAGCAGCTCCAGGTCGGGGGCGTCCTGCACGGCCAGCAGCTCCACCTCCAGAGCGAGGGCGGCGTTGGGCGGGATGTCAGGGCTCCTGCTCGGAGGGAAGGGACACGCTGACGCCTCTTGTGCAACGCGGGGCAGGGCAGGCCAAGCTGTGGCTACAGACCCCCTGGGCTGCTCAGGCCCATTCAGCAGCTCAGTCTCAAGCACAGCCGCCCTCCGCCTGGCAGAGCCCCTAGCACCTGGTATCACTTGTGTGCACCTGCCCACGCACGAGCCATGTGGCATTAGTGCCACCGTACAGCTCTGGAGACAGCTGCTGGCCTGCAGAAACCTCACCCTGCAAAGGTGAAGCAGTGCCAGGCCCGTGACACACTCACACCTGGGCCAGCTGCCAAGGGGGCTAATCAGGACAGACCAAGACCAGCCGCTCGCTCCACAGCCCCCCGGGGAGATCGTCCTTGCGGCAGCTCTGCAGGTATCCAGGGCCACATCTGGCCCTGCCACCCCGAGGCCCCCGCAGGGACGAAGGGCCCACCCAGCCCCTGTGCTCACCTGCCCTGGGGGCCGTAGCAGTACTTCGCATCAGACATGATCGAGGCCGTCTCTCCCGTCTCCAGAAGCTGCGTGCACAGGTCTAGCGCCTGCAGGAGCCAAGAGGGGAGAGGTTAGGGGGGCGCTCCCCTGTCAGGAGCAGAAGGCCCAGGGGGAAGCTATGGTGGGGGTGGGACGGCAGAGCAGCAGTGGGGTCTGTCTGCCAGCCCAGTGCTGCAGCAGGTCCAGGACATGCTCAGGGCCCAGCTCCCAGACGGCAGGGGCAGCGAAGGACCCCACAGCTCAGCACAGGGCATGATGGTGATGGGAGCACGAGCCCTCACGTCCCTTCATCAGCAGCCCTTCTCTTAGCAGGGGCAGCGTGGGGCAAGAGGCGCTGCAGGGCAGGAGGCACCTGGTGCTGGGGCAGCAGGGGACTGGACCGGACGTGGCAGCGGACAGGCTCCAGCGTTCCCATGTCGGTAAACCGGGCAGTGGGAGCCACCGACGCCTGGACCAGGCCCTGCCTGGCAGACCCCTCTCTGCGCCGTAGCCAGGCTCCGTGCAGGGCCCCGCACTCACCTGCAGGACGTCGCAGTCTCCCAGGGTGAAGGTGAGGCCGGGGTTCTCCTCCACCACGCTGCCGTCCTCCAGCATCACCCTGAGCCGCACGGTCACGTTCTGGCCTTTGCGCGGCCGGCTCTCCACGCCCTGGCCAGGCACCAGGGTCTTCTTCTTGAGCAGGCCGTTCCCTGGGCACAGAGGGGAGATGGGAGAGGGTGAGGGAAATGTCCGCACCACTCACCTGCCCTCGCCTGGTCCCTGCACATTCACGCCCTCGCCCGGGAGCGAGCCCCACGCTACGAGGCACTCACCCAAGACATCCAGCCACTCCTCAGCTGCCGGTGGCTCCTCGCCCGCCCCCTCCCCGGTAGGCTCTGGCCCCAAAGCCTGCACGCCCTCCTTGCTGGGTGGCGTGTTCCCTTTCCCGACATCCTCCAAAGGGGGGAGTTCACTCAGGTCCTCCTCCTCATCCTCATCTAGGACCTCAAAGTCCTCCCCGCTGTCCAGCATGGAGGCGCTGGCCTTGGCCTGGTCGGGGGAGCAGCGGTCCAGGCTGGCATCCGCCCGGTCCAGGGAGCTGCTGGCCGGCTCCTCCCCTCCGGAAGCCATGGCAGCGTGGCGTGAGTGACCTGGGGAGGCAGGAGGAGAGGGCTAGGTTAGGTCGGAGCTGCAGCTCAAGGATGGAGGTACCTGAGGGGAAGAACTTGGAGTTTGGAGCCAGGTGCTTGGCGGAAAAAAGGACCCCGAATGCAGCACGGGCACGCCGCTCTGCAGCCCGCTCTGGCTGCCTCTCAGTCTGCAGCGCAGACCGGAGCGGCGGGGGCCCGTGACTGCAACGTGAGCAACTGGGAAGTTGCAAGTGACTCCACCAAGTGCTGGCACAGGCGGCATCGCTCCACGCTCAGGGACCTGTCGAGACCCCCCAGCTGCGACCAGCGACCCCCACCACCCCCCACAGCCAGGGGCTCGGAGCCAGGCAGCGTCCGACGGGCCACATGCAACGCCCCGGCAGCACGAGAAGGAAACCCTGGCCAGCCCCCGCCAGGCCCGGACCTCTCGCCGCTCCGGCTTAGGCTGCGATGCGGCGCAGCGGGAAGGCACCGGGCAGCTGCCAGGCAGGAGAGCCCCGCGGGGGCAGGCAGCGGGAAGAGGCGGCCTGGCGTGGTGAGCAAGTAGCAGAACGGGGTTGGGAGGGACCGGTGGCGGGGGGGCTCCCCTGTGCCCCCCCCGGGGCACTTCTGGGGCAGGTTCCCGCGAGAGGGGGGGTGCAGCCCCCGGCTCCCCGCGCCCCCGGGCGGGTCCTCTGCCAGCGCCCCCGGCCCCCGGGCCGCAGCCCTTCGGCCACGTGCGCCCGCGACCCCCAGCACCCACCGGCCCCGGCAGTCAGCTGCTCGGGCCCCTCCCCTTCCTCCCATTGGCTCAGCTGACCTCAGAGCGCGGCTGCTATTGGCAGGCGGAGGCCACTGTCATGCGGAGGGGTGGAGCCCCCTTAAAGGG